TGTGAAAAGTTGATACTTGAGGGTTTTTTCCTCTGGACTGAGCAGATGAGGAAGGAGAAAAGACCAGCTGCATGCTGTTTACAAACCCTGTTTGGGTAGGGAGACTGAGCTACGCCACTGCCACTACCAAGAGAGTCTTGTTTCTTTCTGTCACAGAATGCAGTCGAAGAAGGAAAGAGAAATCAGTACAAACTTTTTTTTCTGAAGCAACAGAATAGAAATAAATCTAGGGAATAGCACAGTGTGCTGATTTTCAGAGCCAAAATCCTCTGGAATGTAACTAGTGTGATAGTACAGCCATCCTGTTGCTTGCTAAAAGAGTACGTGACAAAGAAGCAGAGATCTTCCTCTAGTGCAATGATAGTAACAGACCATGTGGGAAGAAAATCCCTACTGCGCTGAGAAACTCTATCTTGGTGAGGCAGGTTGGTTAAAACTGAAATTTTCCCAGCTGTTACAGGTTAAAGCAGATCTTTAACAATGTTTACATGAAGAAGCATTCATGGTATAAATTCATTTATGTATGTTTTCAATAAACATGGGAAGCCTGACGTTGGAATAGTGGGTAATGAGTCATGGCTGGATAATAAAGAGGAAAGGCTGTAAGGAAAGGCTACAGAAGACAAATGGTCTACTGAAAACCATGCTATTTGCAATACCTGGGGGGGGGATGGTGAACATAAGCTCTGCAGCCTTTGCTTAAAGCCCATTTACAGGTTACACACTCTGCGACGCTGAAGCAACACATCTGCTCCACTGACCAGCCCTGCCTTCACCGCTGACAAGCCCAGCCCGTCAGCATCCCCAAACTGCCCTCATCACATGGGTGAGCCTTCTACAGTGATAACGCTGTATCCATGGCAAGTCAAACATTGACCTTCCTGACCCATTCAAAAGTGATTGCTCTACTCTTCCTCAGCCGTGCTTGTATTTTCATAGCTTGCAAGGGCAATATCCTGTGGTACCTTACCAGCCATGGAAGGAGGAGGAGGAGGTACAATCATAGAATCATGGAACGCTTTGGGTTGGAAGGCACCTTTAGAGGCCATCTAGTCCAACCCCTCTGCAGTGGACATCTCCAACTGGAGCAGGTTGCTCAGAGCCCCGTCCAACCTGGCCTTGAATGTTTCCAGGGATAGGGCCTCCACCACCTCTCTGGGCAACCCATTCCAGTGTTTCACCACCCTCAGTGTAAAGAATTTCTTCCTTAGATCCAGTCTAAACCTACCCTGGTTTAGTTTAAAGCCATTACCCCTTGTCCTGTCACAGCTGGCCCTACTAAAAAGATTGTCCCCATCTTTCCTATAGGCCCCCTTTAGGTACTGAAAGGCCGTAATCAGGTCTGCCCGCAGCCTTCTCTTCTCCAGGCTGAACAAGCCCACCTCTCCCAGCCTGCCCTCACAGGAGAGGTGCTCCAGCCCTCGGATCATTTTAGTAGCCCTCCTCTGGCCCCGCTCCAACAGGTCCATGTCCTTCTTGTGCTGAGGGCTCCAGAGCTGGACGCGTGGCTCCAGGTGAGGTCTCACCAGAGCAGAGCAGAGGGGCAGAATCCCCTCCCTTAGGTAAGAGGAGGAGCCCTCTGCAGTTATGAACTCCTGTGTGAGTATGTGACCTCGGCCACCGAGGTAGGTGTCAAAACACCCACACGAGCAGTGGCAGTGGTTCCCGTGGCCGCGGCACCTCCCTACCGGCTCACCAGCGCCTGGGGATGGGAATGTGTCTTCCCAGGGCCCATCTGCCAGGCTGTCAAGGCAGCAACATCATGAGCAAGCAAGACTTCAAAAAAAGAAGGGGGAAAAAAAGAAAAAAAGTTTGGGCCGAATTATAAATATTTCGGTGGCATTGTGCACGCCGAGACCCGCCAGCCGCATCGGCACAGGCTCTCGGTGGCGGCACCCTCGTGGGGGGCGGGG